GATTACTTGTACAAGCCTTAATTTTCTTGAATTCTATTAGAATTCTAGATAACTCTCTCATTTTTCGACTTGTAACATTAATATGATGTTTTTCGCGATGAATCTTAAGGTATCTAGCACCAAATGCACATATAAGAAAATCATTTTTTGCTTCTAAAGATATTTTATCTGGCCGCATTCTTGGGAAGACCTCATCTTTTAAACGCTGGTCAATTTTTTTAACATTCTTTAACAAGAAATTTTGGCCTTCTGCTTGAGAATGTTTAGATGATTGACCACCTAAACATGTTTTTCTATGTCTATATAAAAATTTAGATCTGTAAAACCCTAGACAGTTCGAACATGGTAGAAATGACTGAGAAGGTTGAAGTCCTTGCTTAACCGGCTTTACACATTCTTGTGAATTTTTAATGAAATTTCCTTTTTTCTTTAGAAGTGAAAGTAATTCTCTTCTTTCTTTGGATTTCTTTTGTTTTGACAGTATACGTTGCACTTCTAGTTCACAAGAATGGTTTCTTTTTAAGTGTCTTACAAAATTGATGACGTCCGTTTCACAGTAATAGCACATATCTTTTTTCCTTTCATATTTTTTAGTTTTAACTATGATTGTTTCATTGTTAACTTCAGTGCTTATATTCTCGCCTGGGCTATTTGAAGTTTGCTCCTAAAATTAAAATTTTACAATTAATTTTTTTTAAAATCTAATATATTAAAATTCACTTTTATAATATATATATAATTTACTTCGTTACTATTCTATAAGCTTAATTTCATTTATAAGCACTTTAGTCAATAACCCTGTTTTCTAATGTCGTAAGTATAATAAATTAAAACACTTTAGGAAGAAAGACGTAAAATTGTAGTAAAAATTCAATATAACATATTTTATAATATGTTTTCTTAAAAACATTAATTTTATTCAGGAAAAGAGAAAAACGAAAAGAATAGTAACATTTAATGTGAGAAGCTTATATGAAGCGGGAAAGGCCGCAAATTTGATTCAGGACATGGAGAACATAGATATACTGGGATGCAGTGAGGTTAGATGGCCAAATTCAGGTTCTTGTGTGATGAGTAACTATACAATATACTACTCTGGAGAAGAAGGCACACAAAATCAAAATGGCGTGGCAATAATTACATTTAAAGAAATTGCAAAATCAGTTTCTGGTTCTCTACCTATATCAAATAGAATAATGCTAATAAGAATAGATAGCAGACCCGTCAACATGAATATCATACAGATATATGCCCCAAGTAGTCAAAGCACAGAAGATGAAATACAACAATTTTAATAAGATCTAAACAAAACTCTATTGCAGACAAAGAAGCATGAATCCAACATAATATTAGGAGACTTTAACCAAGATTTGGAAACTCCAAGATTTGGAAAAGGAGGAGAAGGTGTCACGATGCGTGAGTTTAGCCTCAGAATAAGAAATGAGAGGGGAGATATGTAGACTGCTTCAGTTCTGTATAGATAATCAGTACAGAGAAATGAGAGGACCCAGATCTAAACAATAAATCTGAAATTTCTCGTGGAACCACTTTCTGACAACATCCTTAATCTCCGTCTTTTACAATTTATAAGGCAAGGAGACGACGAATAAATAAGACGAAAGGGTTACATTCCGTCTATTTATCTAGGAAAAATTCAAATGAAAGTTGATTCCGTGTACCTACTCAAAAATATGAGTAGAAATAAAAAATTAACAAACAGCTGGTTTCAACTCGGTTCAGAGGTGATGCACCATCCCCATACGTCCGTGTCTCTCCAGACGTCTACAAACAGTGACAAGAGTAACAGAAGACTACCTTAAACAAGAGACGAAAAAAAAAACAAACCATGGATGACAGGAGAAATTTTAAACATGATGGACGAAAGAAGAAAATACAGAGGTAAAAATGAAAAAAACATACAAATAAATACACAAGAATATCAGAATAAAGATCCAACAAGCCAAAGAATATAATTTATAATTTTACTTGCCTTTATTTCATCTTCACTAGTATCCGATTCTGGAAAATATTCTGGATCAATATCGCTATCGTATATAGGAGAGTCCGGAGATCTGTTCAAATCCTGTAATTATTACGGATTTGTAATTAAGATACATTTTTTAAAACATATTAGAAAATAATTTGAACTGACCACTTTGTCTTTAGTTATACAAAAAAATTTTAATTGTGATATTTTTTTTTAATTTGATATTTTCAACACAAAAGTTACTTATGTACGTACTTTTATTTTTCCAATATTGTCATCAGTAATTTTATTTTCCTCAGGGAATGGAGACAATGGCCTATTGCAGAACCATCTTTCTTTCTTTTTCGATTGAAAAAACTGGACACCCCGCTAAAAGTATATTTAAAACTTAATTTTGAATGTTATCGTGAAGTTTATTAGCGAAATTATAACTATGTTCTACGAAACAGTTTAGAAAAAGCTCTAAATCCATAGTACTAAGTATTACAAATAATTTAAGGGCCTAGGTGTAAAATCTTGGTCCAATGCTATTTAAATGCATTCATTTTTTTCAAATCCTAAGAAAACTAAATATTTTTGAAAAATTTAAATGAAGATTACATTACCGACGGCCGAAAGTCCCTTAGAAACAAAAAGTTTCTTTTTTAAATATTTGAAATTAAAAGTCACTTTTTCTCTTTTTTTTTTCAACCCTGTAGCTTATTAAAATTTAATTAAATTAAAATACATTATAGACGATATAGTTATAGCTTTCAGGGACTTTCAACCCTCGGTAATAATGTAATATTGCATTCAGCGTTTAAATTGTTTTAAATATAAAATTTCTACTTACATCATCTGAAAAAAAGGGATACGATGTTCTCCGCTTGGCTAACATTCTTAAATTGTCTCACCTCACCTCACAAGCACAGTCACAATTTGAATAATCTTCGAAAATTCGTTTATTAGTATCTATTTATAGATGCACAGTGTTGCCGTCAGTGATTTAAAAGAGGAATCAAAATAATGCATTAAATGAATTAAAAATATACACTCCGTATATTGGTTTTGCGCTCCCTCGCGGATATTCCCTGAATTAAATGTGAATATTATCTTTCACTTTTAATACTTAATTGCATCCTTTAATTTTATGACTACAGCCATTTGGTATGGTTGAGAATTCTGTCTATAAGGTTAAAACAATTACAATATAATCCGAAAGAGTTCTCTGGATAAACGATGTCTTTATCTTCAACAATAACCGAAAAAAATAGAAAAACTATTTTGCTTCCGATATACGGATGCAAAATAGTCATGGACGTAAAATGTTATGTGCAGAGTAATAAGAAGGACGCAATATAATGCTATGGATATATATATATATATATATATATATATATATATATATATATATATATATATATATATATATATATATTTATATATATATATATATATATCGGAAAAAGGAGTACGACCGTCAAATTCCAATATATAAAAGGATCACTCAACAGAGTGGTGGGCTCTTATATCGGTCAATTTGTAGGTGGAGAAATGAAAGACAAAGTTGATGTGCCACTCTATCTATTTTGAAGACGTTTCGCTTTCGTATTATGAAAGCATCATCAGTTCATTCTAAAAAGTATAATATAAGAACCACACAATCATGGAAAAGATGTTACAGGTGTTACCTTAAAAAGACATCTTTGACTGCTACATGTCTTTTTAAGGTAACACCTGTAACATCTTTTCCATGATTGTGTGGTTCTTATATTATACTTTTTAGAATGAACTGATGATGCTTTCAGAATACGAAAGCGAAACGTCTTCAAAATAGATAGAGTGGCACATCAACTTTGTCTTTCATTTCTCCACCTACAAATTGACCGATATAAGAGCCCACCACTCTGTTGAGTGATCCTTTTATATATATATATATATATATATATATATATATATATATATATATATATATATATATATATATATAGCGAACACATCATGCGTATTGTATTCGACAACACTTTAGTACTAGCATCATCAACAAATGACCTTGAATACATCATGAACAGACTAGATACTATTAGTCGTGAATATGGACTTAAAGTTAATGTACAGAAGACCAAGGTAATGATAATCGATCGAATTAGAAATAACCAGCAGGAAATACGAAACGTAGCGGGGCTTGAAGTGGTAAACCGATTCAATTACTTAGGTTCTCTTATCACAAAATGGTGGATGCGAAGATGAGATACGTCGACGCCTTACAATGGCCAGATTAGCAACGGTCAAACTTGCTAAAATCTGGAAAGATACGGACATAAACAGGAAAACGAAACTGCGCCTAGTACGGACGCTTATCTTTCCTATAGCTACTTATGCGTCAGAAACTTGGACCATTAAAAAGTCCGACTCACGTCAAGTCCTGGCTGCATAACCTGCGAAAATGGTTTAACTTAACCACTACCGGACTTTTCAGGGCAGCAGTCAACAAAGTCAGAATAGCCATGTTAGTGTCCAAGATTCGTAACGGATAGGCACCATAAGAAGAAGTGTTCCTGATAAGGAGTTGGACAACTTGAAATATGGTTTCCAGTTCTAATTGCAATGGTGGAATTCTAATTGAAATGAAATGCAATGAAACATCCTTTCTCTACGTAAAGAGCGAAAAAGATAATGATTCCTGATTTTATTATGACATGATGATTTAATCATTTGGAATTTTTCCTTCTTTAGATAAACCTAAGGAGTGGCTTTAACTGTTCCATATTGTCTTCCTGGATAATCTGAGGAATTTTTAATAAAAACTACAAAACATTTTTGCTGTTTTAATCTGAGACAGATTGTAATGGAAACCTTAAAAATACATTTATTTTGTAAAAAATATCAACCCCTCTATCACTTTTTATATTGCACGAAAAATAAAAAAATTTGATAAAATAATCTCAATATATACAACTTTTAAGACAAAAACATTAAAGTTAATAAAATTTATCTACATCTTGTTCAACATAATTAATTAAAACAATTTTTTGGTAACAGGATTTAATACAACTTGAACATTACAATTTTTTTAATGAGATTTGTATTGGATGTTTGGTATATTGCAATATCTCTTGTCTCTGCATGAGATTGAATATACTCCAACAGAGAAAAGGAAGCCCGAGACAGCTAAAAACGATGCGGTCCCACCCAGAAACTGAGTAATTTTGAAATTTGCGACGACGATGAACAATTTTCTTAAGGTTTTTTTATCTCCCTGTCTCAGTATGTTTGATTTTATTTAAAGAACGTAATTATAACCATTAACAACCTTTACACCCAACCAACACCATATCGTAGTGATCTTCTTTTCTTCTGTTAAATGGTGATAGCTACAAGTTGTGGACAATTGGGGATATCACAGTGAATATCGGCTGCACATCTTCGGTTTTCTCTCGACTCATAGTAGTCAAAGAGCAGCGGTTTTTGACAAAACTTGCATTGCTAAAAGTAAAAAAATGGTAAACAGTCTAATTTATATACAGTGTAGGTAAAAGTTTATGGTTGGTATGTACCTTACGTGAGATGGAGTGAGAAACACATATTTAAAAAGAGAGAGATATATTAGGTTCCTTTATATCGTCGAAATAGCATTAGAGGAACTAAGAAAAGAGGAGAAGTTCAACGTTGCCAAACTTATTGGTTTTATTTGACCTGTTGTCTTTTTAGCATTTTAAAAACGTTCTAAGATAATCAAATTTAGGCAAATTAATTTAAATGGCAGCTTACTATTTTTTATTTTTAATATGCCACAATTTTCCTTTACAATAATTTAACATTTTGATTTCCACTTCGGAAATCTAAACATCAAAATAAGCTTTTTTAAAGTCACATTGTGCCTTATTCCCAATAAAAATAATAAACTGCAATATGACACCACAATAAAAAAGCTTCTTATAAAATTATTTGGCAACGTCGAGTTGTTAAAGTAAGGACCTGTAGAAAAAACAGTAGAGTCGTTGACGTTTTTATCGTTAACGAAACTGAACCGCTTTTCGTAAACAAGTAACAAGTTGAAAAACTAATTAAAATATTTAAGCCAGTACATAAACAAACATGCTTTGTTGAATCAAAGAAAAATATACTGAAATACTTTCAACGGCTTTTCAAATTTGCTGTAGTTGATTTATAACTAAGTTTTTCTTTGCAAATATTGCATACAGCATTCTCACTGTTAATGTCTTTCCAAAGTGATGCCATAAAATACATCTTTACGCGCAGACATGTTAAACACACAATTAGTTAATAAAGTAAATATTTAGTACTCACAGAATAAATTCACATTTACGTTAGACAAAACTCAACTTCAAATAAAAATTCAGTTTGCTGAATAATATAAAACGTGAATCGGGTACTCCCATGTGTTAATATTTCAAATTAAAAATAATCATTGCGAAATTCATAAAGTCGAGCATAAAAGCTGCATCTTCTACAAATGTACATTTTTTGAAAATACAATTATTACGCTTGTACTAGGTAAATGATTTTAACTAAGAAAAAAACTTCTTAATTGAATATTTACAATAAATAAATCCTTTAACGAACTATCAATAAATATTTCAGCTTCAGTGTAGCGTTATAACTGCTACATTGCCTGCTTTCTTTCTTATGTTAAAATATTTCGTTAATTATATTCTCCAATTTCCATATCTTCTGTCATAATTCATATTCTTCTATATCCTCCATTGTATCTCTTATTTTTCTATATATTTTCTAGGATATAGATTGTATCAGAATTATGTCGTTACTTAATTGATTCATTATTCTCTTTTCATTTTTACTGGTATTTGGTATAAAAACCAGTTGGCGTCCAAATCTATTTCCTTTATATATATATCTACAGTATTTCAGTATCTACCTCTCCTATTTTCTTAATAATCATCATTTTTATCTTTTACTCAAGTTTCTAAAGAGTAAATTTTATTTTCGTCTCTATTTCTGTTACTTTGGAACGAGAGGTGCCATCTTTATTCTCTGTTTAGTTCAATGCTGTTGACATTTCTCCCTTCCCGTTCGATACAGAAGTCGATATAAAGGCTTCTATTTTCTAGAAATGTAGATTTTCTTGATGACTTCTGTAAAAGTATAATAACCAATTGTTGTGTCGTCTCCTGATTAAGGAGGTAAGAGTATGATACATTTTATCGATTTTTTGATTCTACCTGTTGTATAAAAATCTTTTTATAATTTTAACTTTGAAAATTCTAAGCTCATTATTTATGATTATGGTATGACATGTAAGTAGATACATATTTTGTGGATATTTCTTATGTTTTTTATTTTATATAAAAACTAGCGATAAGAAATATATAGTTTCTTTAATATAGTATGTAAAAGTTTTACGAATATTTTTATAGTCTTAAATACTAATTTTAAACCCTTAATAATATCTTTTTATTTTAATAATAATTAACTTTTGACAAACTACCATTTCTATATAGAAATGTTTCTAAATTCTAAATTATCTAGCTTTTCAATAAATATTTCGTGTCATTTTTTTTCCGAATTCACTTTTTTAATTAACATTAGATTATTTCAATTGTAAAAAGTAATTACTATTTGCTTTAAAAATTATATATATATATATATATATATATATATATATATATATATATATATACATATATATATATATATTATATATATATATATATATATATATATATATATATATATATATATATATATATCCTTACTTTTACTTATTTGCCTATGATAAGTACATAAATAAGAATTGTTTCTCGACTTGCTTGGGTGAATAATGATACAATTTTGTTAAATTTGATTGGTCAAGTTTTCATCCCCCAAGCAAGGTCTCTCATTTTGGTTTCACCATTTTCTGAAGCAAGGTGTGTTTTTCTTCGTTTTAGTCAACCTCCGGGATACATTTCTCAGGTGCGGGCCAAATTCTTTTAACATCCAGAAGACCAACCGGCCTGAGAGTGGCACCATCATTCCGATAGGAGAGTTGACTCCGGGGCAAGAAAATCCACAACTAACAACATGGCTTGCTAACAACCATAGCAGAAAAGACCAGGATAAAACCTAGGATTTGGTGACAAACATTGTTCTTTAATATAATGTAACACTGTGGCAAGAAGTTGAATAATTTTTATTTAAATTCAATACTATATTTAAACATTTATTTGTCTTTTTTTTATAGTTTAATAAACATGTGTTAATTTAACTGTGTATTATTTCTTCTTTTTACTTGTTTGTGTGTGTTGCTCCAGAGTAGGCCATATTCACGTCCTGAGTGAGCTAGATACAGAGTGTTTCGCATAACGTCTAATGTAGCAATTTTGCAATTGATACATTAGGGGTTATAGCGTTAAAAATTGGTCCCAACAGGGAACGATTTGTCGCTCCAACGTTGTTAGTGATGTTAGTCAGGTTGTAGCAGCAAACTAAGGTTTGCGGTTACAAGTTGACAACAGCAGCTCAACGTTGGAATATTACAAATTGAGCCACGAAGGGTTACAAATTGGTATCCAATGAATATTCGTTGGCATGTCATAGATTGATGTCCAATTAATGTTCGTTGGAACGTTACAAATTCAGAACAACATCAACTAGTTGGTTTCCAGTGAGAAACCGTGGATTCGTTCACGACAAATAAACGGTTGAATAAAACAGTTCGGTGATTCAATGCTCATCTCTAAATAACAGAACTACTTCTATGACATGTCATGCGTATATCACGGTAGTAAGTTGTTCTTTCATAAAGCATAATAAATAAACACGCAGTCAGTAGGTTAGTCTTAGTAAAGCATTAGGAAGGAGCAGGTGTATTGTATAAAATTTAAACTGGACGAAAAATTACGTCTTTTAATTAAAAATAAGATATTATTTGGTATTTTCCAAATATCTTTGAAACTATATTTTCGTTAAATTTTTTGGAGGTATTTATAGTAAGTGTGAAAATAAGAATTAGTTCTTTAAAAATGAAACAAAAAAAGATAAAATTAGTATAAAATTTGTTCTATAAAAATGAAATCAAATAAAAAATAATTCCAACACTACTGTTTAAATTAAAAATAACTCCAAGGAATTAGGAATTCTAAACCAAATTCTTAGGTAATTAAATGTTCAAACAGACCACCAAATTGTAACAAACAGTAACCAAATCTATTATACAAAGTATTCCTCATGGCGTTGATTTTATCTGCCGATATGTTTTGGCTAAGTTGGATTATCTTTTCCTTTAGTTCCTCCAAGTTGTTGGTTCGCTCGAACTCATGCCTATACAATTTTGTTTTTAGCATCCCCAAAAATAAAAATCTAGAGGAGCTAACTCGGATGACCGAGGGGCCATTTTATTGTACCGTCTGTACTAATGACACGTTCAGCAAAAATTAACGATAAATAGTATCTAACGACTTTTGCATTATGTGCAGGACAGCCGTCTTGTTGAAACCAAATTTCGTTTAAGTTAATTTGAAGAGTTTGAAGTGCATGAATAATTTGATTTTACAGTAATTGGAGATATTTGACTGCGTTTAAATTGCCTTCAATGAAAAAAGGACCAATAATATGGTCTCCCAAAATTCCAGTCCAAACATTAAATTTTTGTGGATACTGCATACGCACAGACACACTCAAATGCTTATTCTCCTGAGACCAATAACGTACAGCGGATAAATTATGTTTCTTGTGAATTGTGAAGGAGGACTTATCTGTAAACAAATATTTTTTAAAAAATTATTTGCGTGGCATCTCTCCATCATAATTTCACAAAATTGCATCCGTTTAAATTTATCTTCAGGAAACATTTATGGAGTTGTCTGAACTTTATAACAATGGTAGTTGTTTCTTTTCAAAATATTCCTCACTATTTTTGCATTCAAATCAACTTCATCGGCAATTAGTTTACTTGAAAGTGAAATCGTAGGCTTCCAAGGCCAGAGTCAGAATTATAGTTTATTCGTCTTCCGGGTTTGGACCGTGTCATTTGTGAGTGACCCAAAAGTGGGTTCATCTCGACGTTTCGCTACAATTGTATGTAGCTTCTTCAGGAGAACAAAGAAAAGAAAACAAAAGACAGGAAGATGGGTAGTTAGCAACGGTAACTCAGTTACTCAACGCAACCAGAGGCGAATACTAACTACCAATATGGGCATTTGGTCACAGTAACTCAACTACTCAACGCAGCCAGAGGTGAAAACCAATGCCAGGACAGGGATTCACGTCCAACAGCTCAGAACACTAACGCGTCGAGAGGATTCACTCCCCGCCTCTCGACGCGTTAGTGTTCTGAGCTGTTGGACGTGAATCCCTGTCCTGGCATTTGGTTTTTCACCTCTGGCTGCGTTGAGTAGTTGAGTTACTGTGACCAAATGCCCATCTTGGTAGTTAGTGTTCGCCTCTGGTTGCGTTGAGTAACTGAGTTACCGTTGCTAACTACCCATCTTCCTGTCTTTTGTTTTCTTTTTCTTTGTTCTCCT